ATAAATCAGGGATTGCAATTTGCAAATGAAAGAAAAGAAAATGGAAGAAAATTATAAACGGCTGATGGACTGGAGTGTTCTTTGAGCCTCCAATTATCAATCCTCTCCCACATCAACTCAGTAAATGGAATTTGTAATTACAACAAATATATCAAATACAAAAATGAATTGAAGCAAATCAAGAATCTTAGAATTAAAATGAAGTGGCAATTAAAGATAATTAACATCACACCCTCAATCACCAGATAGAATATTTCAAGAAAGGTTGAAGTACTTTCTTAGCACTAGGATGATCCCACTTCACTGATTCCCACCATTCTTTTGAGTCTTTTTGTATCAAGATTTCTCTGAGACAAGGAGGAGGAGATGGTTGGCCATTGTCAAGCAGAGGAAGCTGCACAGTGATCCTCTTTAACTCTGGACATCTAATTATTTGAATATCTTCAATAGAATCACAAACCATAACTCCTTTACCACTGCAGATGCTCTTCAATTGGGGCAATTTTATCAATTTCAGTTCCCTTAACTTGGGAAAAATGAATTTATCTGATGATGCTATTATCTCCTCCATTTTTTCAATTCCCTTAACTTGGGATGATGCATCTAAATCTGATGATGCTATTATCTCCTCCATTTTTTCGCAATCAGAAACTTCAATCTTCTGTAAGTTTTGGTGGGCCTGCAGTAGCTCAAGCGTAAGCAACTTCCTTATTCCTGAACAATGCCTTATAGAAAGATTTTTAAGATTGGAGAATACTTGTGGTGGAGTTGCTACTCCTTCCACGCTCACAAGTACTTGCAAGCTTGGCATGAAACATAGGCGGAGAATTTCAAGCTTGTCCAGTAATGGATAGCATGATGAGGAGGATGAGTTCAAGTGAAACAGGCACTCTATGTCTTGACAATCATAAATAGTACAAGAAGTTAACTCCATTGCTTTTTCTAACAAAATTAAGTTGTTTAAGCTTCTTCCCCTGTAACAGGAACGGATCTGCAATGTCTCCAGGTTATTTGGAATCACTACACATTCTCCTCCAATATCGCACTTACTAAAAATTAATTGTTTAGCTATGGAATCATGTCTTGCAAAGTTCCGAAACATACACCAATCTTCTTCTGATCCCACCAATAGCCTGTAGGCCCAAAGACTTTGAAAATGTTTAGATT